GAAGAATATTAAAAAAAAAGGAAGAATCCAAGGAAATTCGGGATAATGGGAGAAAATTCGGACGAATACGGATCGAAAAATTTCGAGTGAATCCAAGAAAATTCTAAAGAATTCAATAGAATCCGGAAGAATTCGAAAGAATTCGAGAGACTCTTAGATATTCCAAAAAAATAATTAAATAACCTCAAAGGATTCAAGGGAATACAAGAGAATTGACGAGAATTCGAGAGAATTCCTAAGTAGTCGGGAGAATCTAGAAAAATTCGAAAGAATACGACAGAATCCGAAGAAAATCCGAAAGAATACGAAATTATATGAGAGAATCCAAGAGACTTCGAAAGAATCCGAGAGAATCCGGAAGAATTTGAAAGAATATGAGTGATTCCGAAAGAATACGAGAGAATCCTATCAAATCCTGAGAAGATCCTAGAGAATCCAGAAGAATATTAAAAAAAAGGAAGAATCCAAGGAAATTCGGGATAATGGGAGAAAATTCGGACGAATACGGATCGAAAAATTTCGAGTGAATCCAAGAAAATTCTAAAGAATTCAATAGAATCCGGAAGAATTCGAAAGAATTCGAGAGACTCTTAGATATTCCAAAAAAATAATTAAATAACCTCAAAGGATTCAAGGGAATACAAGAGAATTGACGAGAATTCGAGAGAATTCCTAAGAAATCGGGAGAATCTAGAAAAATTCAAAAGAATATGACAGAATCCGAAGAAAATCCGAAGGAATACGAAATTATTTGAGAGAATCCAAGAGACTTCGAAAGAATCCGAGAGAATCCGGAAGAATTTGAAAGAATATGAGTGATTCCGAAAGAATACGAGAGAATCCTATCAAATCCTGAGAAAATCCTAGAGAATCCGGAAGAATATTAAAAAAAAAGGAAGAATCCAAGTAAATTCAGGATAATGGGAGAAAATTCGGAAGAATACGGATCAAAAAATTTCGAGTGAATCCAAGAAAATTCTAAAGAATTCAATAGAATCCGGAAGAATTCGAAAGAATTTGAGAGGCTCTGAGATATTCCAAAAAAATAATTAAATAATCTAAAAGGATTCAAGGGAATACAAGAGAATTGGCGAGAATTCGAGAGAATTCCTGAGTAGTCGGGAGAATCTACAAAAATTCAAAAGAATATGACAGAATCCGAAGAAAATCCGAAAGAATACGAAATTATTTGAGAGAATCCAAGAGACTTCGAAAGAATGCGAGAGGATCCGGAAGAATTTGAAAGAATATGAGTGATTCCGAAAGAATACGAGAGAATCCTATCCAATCCTGAGAAGATCCTAGAGAATCCGGAAGAATATTAAAAAAAAAGGAAAAATCCAAGGAAATTCAGGATAATGGGAAAAAATTCGGAAGAATACGGATCGAAAAATTTCGAGTGAATCCAAGAAAATTCTAAAGAATTCAATAGAATCCGGAAGAATTCGAAAGAATTCGAGAGACTCTGAGATATTCCAAAAAAATAATTAAATAATCTAACAGGATTCAAGAGAATACAAGAGAATTGGCGAGAATTCGAGAGAATTCCTGAATAGTCGGGAGAATCTAGAAAAATTCGAAAGAATACGACAGAATCCGAAGAAAATCCGAAAGAATACGAAATTATATGAGAGAATCCAAGAGACTTCGAAAGAATCCGAGAAAATCCGGAAGAATTTGAAAGAATATGAGTGATTCCGAAAGAATACGAGAGAATCCTATTAAATCCTGAGAAGATCCGAGAGAATCCGGAAGGATATTAAAAAAAAGGAAGAATCCAAGGAAATTCAGGATAATGGGAAAAAATTCGGAAGAATACGGATCGGAAAATTTCGAGTGAATCCAAGAAAATTCTAAAGAATTCAATAGAATCCGGAAGAATTCGAAAGAATTCGAGAGATTCTGAGATATTCCAAAAAAATAATTAAATAATCTAAAAAGATTCAAGGGAATACAAGAGAATCGGCGAGAATTCGAGAGAATTCCTGAGTAGTCGGGAGAATCTAGAAAAATTTGAAAGAATACGACAGAATCCGAAGAAAATCCGAAAGAATACGAAATTATATGAGAGAATCCAAGAGACTTAGAAAGAATCCGAAAGAATCCGGAAGAATTTGAAAGAATATGAGTGATTCCGAAAGAATACGAGAGGATCCTATCAAATCCTGAGAAGATCCTAGAGAATCCCGAAGAAATTAAAAAAAAATGGAGGAATCAAAGGAAATTCAGGATAATGGGAGAAAATTCGGAAGAATACGGATCGAAAAATTTCGAGTGAATCCAAGAAAATTCTAAAGAATTCAATAGAATCCGGAAAAATTCAAAAGAATTTGAGAGGCTGTGAGATATTCCAAAAAATAATTAAATAATCTAAAAGGATTCAAGGGAATACAAGAGAATTGGCGAGAATTCCAGAGAATTCCTGAGTAGTCGGGAGAGTCTAGAAAAATTCGAAAGAATACGGCAGAATCCGAAGAAAATCCGAAAGAATACGAAATTATATGACAGAATCCAAGAGCCTTCGAAAGAATCCGAGAGAATCCGGAAGAATTTGAAAGAATATGAGTGATTCCGAAAGATTATGAGAGAATCCTATTAAATCCTGAGAAGATCCGAGAGAATCCGGAAGAATATTAAAAAAAAAGAAGAATCCAAGGAAATTCAGGATAATGGGAAAAAATTCGGAAGAATACGGATCGAAAAATTTCGAGTGAATCCAAGAAAATTCTAAAGAATTCAATAGAATCCGGAAGAATTCGAAAGAATTCGAGAGACTCTGAGATATTCCAAAAAAATAATTAAATAATCTAAAAAGATTCAAGGGAATACAAGAGAATTGGCGAGAATTCCAGAGAATTCCTGAGTAGTCGGGAGAATCTAGAAAAATTCGAAAGAATACGACAGAATCCGAAGAAAATCCGAAAGAATACGAAATTAGATGACAGAATCCAAGAGACTTAGAAAGAATCCGAGAGAATCCGGAAGAATTTGAAAGAATATGAGTGATTCCGAAAGAATACGAGAGAATCCTATCAAATCCTGAGAAGATCCTAGAGAATCTGGAAGAATATTAAAAAAAAAGGAAGAATCAAAGGAAATTCAGGATAATGGGAGAAAATTTGGAAGAATACGGATCGAAAAATTTCGAGAGATTCTGAGATATTACAAAAAAATAATGAAATAATCTAAAAGGATTCAAGGGAATACAAGAGAATTGGCGAGAATTCGAGAGAATTCCTGAGTAGTCGGGAGAATCTAGAAAAATTCGAAAGAATACGACAGAATCCGAAGAAAATCCGAAAGAATACGAAATTATTTGAGAGAATCCAAGAGACTTCGAAAGAATGCGAGAGGATCCGGAAGGATTTGAAAGAATATGAGTGATTCCAAAGGAATACGAGAGAATGCTATCAAATCCTGAGAAGATCCTAGAGAATCCGGAAGAATATTAAAAAAAAGGAAGAATCCAAGGAAATTCGGAATAATAGAAGAAAATTGGAAGGAATCCGAAAGAATGCGGAACAAAACAAAAAATTTCGAGTTAATCCAAGAGAATTCTAAAGAAGATCCGGAACAATTAGAAAGAATGCGAAAGAATCCGGGAGAAGACGAAAGAATCCGACCAATTTGTGAGAAGAGCCGGGAGAGTCCAGAGAGATATGAAAGAATTTGAGGAAATTCCGAGAGAATCCGGTGGAATCCGAAAGAATTCAACTACTAAAAAGAACTGAGAGAATCCGGTATGGTAGAATTCGAAAGATCACAGACTCCGAAATAATCCGTGAATACGGAAGATTATGAGAAAATACGAAAACATAATCGGAGAGTATCCAAGAGAATTAGAGAGAATTTAAAATAATCCGGGAGAATTTGAAAAAATCCAGTTAATCCTAGATAATCCGAAAAAGGATATGAAAGAATTCAAGCGAATCCCACCAAATTCTCAGAAGATCCTAGAGAAATAACCCGAAAACAATCAAAGAGAATCCAAGAGAATCTGAGAGAATTTGCGAGAATCCGAGAGAATTCGTAAGAAGTCGGAAGAAGCCGGAAGAATTTGAAAGAATAAGGGAGAATCGGAAAATAATTCCAGAGAATCCTCAATAAATTCAAGAATTAATAACGAAAAATTGAAGACCTGAAAAATCGAAAAACTGAAAAATTGGAAAATGAAAAGTCGAAAAATTGAAGTAACGAAAATGGTAAATAAATTTTTAAACTGAAAAAACAAAGAATTACAAAATCATAACATTGAAAAACTGTGAAAATAAAAAAAATAATAAATCTAAACGAAAAATTGAACTAACGAAAATTTGACAAAATGAAAAATTTTAAATCGAAAAATTTCAGAATCTAACAATTGAAGAAAAAAACTAAAATTAAAATTGAAAAAACAAAAAACTATAAAACCGAAACGAAAAACCTCAAAATCTAGAAATTGAAAGATTGAAGTTGAAGTTGGAAAATTGAAAAACTGAAAATCCAAAAATTAATCTTCAACCAACTTTTTACCCCTAAATTAATCCGCCGGACCCCACATAGTTCGTTATCCAAACACCACTCCCGACCCGACCGCTCTAATTTCCTCCCTTGCCCACACATCCCGGTCCTGGAATCAATCTCCCACTAACCCCCGACTCAGGTATTTGGCGCTAAACCGCTCTTATTCATTTCGGGATTCATCCTCTGTTTACCTTCTCTAATTATCCGTCCCGCTCTGCCTCCCCTAAAGTTATTCAGCAAATGTGAGCCACCAGCGTTATTTCTTTGAAATATTCAACTCCTTTGTCGAAAGTAAACAGGACCCTGAATAATTATGTCCAATTTAGAAAATCGTTACTACTTCCGTGTGCCTCCGCCATTTTCACAATTAGCACGGGTCGAGCCGGTGTCGTCGCCCTTCGGGCCGCCATCCTCGACCCAGCCGCCCAATTCCGCCTAATTTTATTAACTTGTGTCTTTTCTTCTTTTCCATGTCTTCGCCTCGCCGGAATCAACAGGGCGCAGTTAGAGTAAGTAATTCTGTTTTTATTGTCTTCCGTCCCGGTCATCACTTTTCTCTGGAATTATCGTCGCCCATAAAAACGGCTGGCTGTTACGAACACCTGGATTTCAACGGGGGAGGGGCGTGAGTTATTGCATAGACCAGGATGGATTTATGGATTTATGGGCGAAAGTGGATATGGAAAAGCCGGACGGTTTGTGCTGGGATTAGTGATGACTGCGCGGAATATTGATTTATTAGAGCCTACCTAGGTTTAGCTAAACCTATATTTTGCCTTTTTGCTGAAACTGATAACGCAGCTGTGTTTCGGCCTACGCGAAATGTTCGCTTCGCGAAACACACTTTATGAAAAAGGAGACGAGTCTTTGAAAGGTCGCGAAACGCAGAGTTCACGACGGAATTATGTTCAGGTAGAAAATAATCGACGTTTTCGCTATAATAAAGTCGGAAGAGACGATTCTTGAATAGGTGCTGTCGTATCAAAGGCAAATATTTACAATATTCTTTCCGGAAATAACAAAATTTGTAACGGCTGCTCGTACCTCCAACGTGAATAAAATGTCATACTGTATTGATTGTGGGTACAATGGGAACGACTACGAGTAGTGTATGTACGAGTTTTAACCCTTTTCACCGCTTTTAAATTTTTCATTTTGTGGTTTTATTTTATTTTTTCTGTTTCAACTCTTTAGCTTAATAAAATCCATATTGGTGACTATTTCTCTAAAGGTACTTAATTACTTTCTATATTTTTTGACTTTAAGTTCTCTTAAGTATTTCCATTTTTTTATGCCTAAAAGCTATTGATACTTCGGCTAACTCTAATTGTAGCTTTGAAGCCTTGTTTCGTCATAATTTAAAATTCTTTAGTCCTAATTTCTCTTATGTTTTGATTTTTCTCCTATTCCCTTCCTCTCTTTCGTGTTTTCGAATATTTGGTGTTTCATTTTTAGCCTTCTAGGGCCTCTTGTAGTCAGTTCGTTCTTCCTTTTCCTATTTCAAAGTGTAAAATAATTCTGTTAAATGACAATATTTTACGTAGTTCCAAGTTTTTTACTCTTGTTTTTTTGTCATTTTTGGGACGTTTTAGATGACAGTTTAGTCTCTTTTTCTCTTCCTGATCTTTTGCTATTAAAAGTTTTATTTAATTTTTTTCATTTCTAATTCTACGGCTTAATACTTTCCTTAATACATTGTCTTTCTGTTATTTCTGTTTCTTTTTGTGTTTTTTGTTGTGTCTCTTCAGCTTCGTTATTTCCATTTTCATACTATTATACTTCCTGTTAAATATTTCTAGTCTTTATTCGAAGCTATTTTCACTTCGTTTGTTGATGATTATTTCTCTTAATGTAATTATTTACCTTCTATATTTTTAGTTTAAATTCTCTTATTTCCGTTCTTTTTTTCTTCAAAAGCTATGATTTCTTCGGCCATTTCTTATTTTGGCATTGAAACTGAATCCTTGTTTCGACGTAATTTGAAATTCTTTGGTCCTGATTTCTCTTATGTTTTGATTTTTCTCCTATTCTCTTCCTCTCTTTGGTGTTTTCGAATTTTTGGCGTTTCATTTTGAGCCTTCTAAGGCCTCTTGTAGTCAGTTCGTTCTTTCTTCTTCCATATATTTTGCTATTAAGAGTTTTATTTCATTTTTCCCTTCTTGTTCTACAGCTTAATACATTCTCTAGTAAATCGTTTTTCTGCTATTTCTTTTTGTGTTATTTGTTATATATTTCATTATTTCCCTTTTCATACTATACCTCCTGTTAAATAGTTCTAGTTCTTTATTTGAAGCTAGTTTTTGTTGATAGTTATTTCTCTGAAAGTACCTACTTATTTATTTTCTATATTTTCGGTTTAAATTCTTATATTTTCATTCTTTTTATATTCAAAAGCTATAGTTACTTCTACCGTCTCTTATTTTAACATTTACCTTTTGTGGTATTTTGGTCTTTTCCTATTCCCTTTACCCTTCTTCGTGTTTTCGAATATGGGATTTTCCATTTGTAACTCTCTAGGATCTTTTGCATTGAATTTTTTTTCTTCTGGTCCAAATTTTCGACTCATGTTTTTTTTTAAGATGTTTTAAATCCTAGTTTCATCCCCTTTCCTTTTCCTTGCTCTTTGCTTAAGATACTCTCTCTCCCTCTTGGTTGTGCACCTTACTTGATCTCAAGTGCATGTTCAACTTCTACTACTACTATATATCTTCCCTATCAAATTTTTGCAACTTTTTTTTATTCGAAGCTAGTTTTACTTTTCTTTGTTGGTCGTAATTTCCCTTAATATACTTATTTACTTTCAACATTCTTGATTTATATATTAGTAGCTTCTATTATTTCTATTATTTTTATCTTCCAGTAGCTATAATTCATTCTTCCGTCTCTTATTTTAGCACTAAAGCCTCCTTTCCGCGTATAGTTTTGGAAATTTCGTTCTACCCTATAAAATTTTATTGGCAATAACGAGGCAAACAGGGGTACAATAGCAAGAGATATTTACAACTTAAATTTGTCGCGTGCCAGCAATCCCCAGATGTTAGAAAGCAGAATAATCCAGGTCCGGACAGGGACCATCATTACTCAGTAACGAAAATGACCATTATTTTATGAGTACAACTACCTGCTACATGTTCTCCGACAAATTCGGATGCACTAGTATGAGCCATAAATATTTCTTACCATTGTACTACTGTCCGTCTCGTTATTGTCAATAAAATTTTATAGGGTACAATGAAATTTCCAAAACTATAACTTGAAATTCTTCAGTTCTAATTTCTCTTATGTTTTTTTCCTGTTGTCTTCCTGTTTTTGATATAGATCTCTCTCTCTCTCCCTCTGTTGGTTCTAAGTGCATGGTTTTTCTGTTACTTCTAAGTCTTTTGTATTCTCTTGTGTCTCTTGATTAATTCTCTTTTGGCACTATACATAAATATTTCCTGTCCATTCGACTAAATTAAAATTTCTCACGTAATGTCTATTCTTGTTTTTTTTTTATTTTTGAGATATTTTTTTGTTGTTTTGGTACTTCTCATTCTTCGTATATTACGTGCTATATATCTTCATTATCTCTATCGCCAGTAGATTTTCTGTTAAATATTTGAATTTTCTCTTCATTCCATAATATTTTTACTTTTACTTTTCTTGATGGCAATTCTCTTGAGACACAAATTTATTTTCCCTGTTTTTCCGTACCTGCATTCTTTTTATGTCAGTAGTTCTACTTTTTTTCCTCGTAACTCCTAATTCTCCACTCTTAGTTTTTCTTTTGTTCCCTTTTTCGTTATTCTTCTAGCGTTTGTTTTGGACAATTTGTCTTATTTTTCTTGTCTCAAAGTATAAAATAAACCTACGAACCGAAAATTTTTCAGGAAATTTCAAAATTCCCTGCTCTTGATTTTTCTCCTCCCTTCTTTATTATTATTATTTTTTAATTTAGTCCCTCGTTCCTTGTCTTTGCACCACATCTGATTCTTTCTGTATTCCGTATTGTGTGTATTCATTATCTTCCTTTCATCAGTGAATTTCTAGTTAAAGTTTTCTAATTTTTCGTTATTCCAAGTTATTTCTGCTTTATTTGATGCCAATTTCTTTAGATTTTTATTGATTTTTCTTAATTTTGACATCTGTTTTCCCTTATTGTTGTATTCTTCTTTGCTTCCATCATTCTACTTGCTTCCGCCATGCCTTGTTTTCACACAGGTGTCCTCGTTCATCTTTAATTCAAATTCGTTAGTCCTAGTTTCTCTTTTGTTCCTTTTTCGCTAGTCTTCTAGCGTTTGTTTTGGACCATTTGTTCTTCTTTTTCTTGTCTCAAAGTAAAAAATAATCCTACGAACTGAAAATGTTTCAGGAAATTTCAAAATTTCCTGCTCTTGATTTTTCTCCTCCCTTCTTTATTGTTATAATTTTTTAATTTAGTCCCTCGTTCCTTGTCTTTTCACCACATCTGATTCTTTCTGTATTCCATATTGTGTCTATTCATTACCTTCCTTTCACCAGTGAATTTCTCGTTAAAGGTTTCAAATTCTTCTTTATTCCAAGTTATTTCTGCTTTATTTGATACCAATTTCTTTAGATTTTTATTTATTCTTCTTAATTTTGATATCTGTTTCCCTTATTGTTGTATTCTTCTTTGCTTCCATTATTCTACTTGCTTCTGTCATGCCTTGTTTTAACACGGGTGTCCTCGTTCATCTTTAATTGAAATTCGTTAGTCCTAGTTTCTCTTTTGTTCCTTTTTCGCTAGTCTTCTAGCGTTTGTTTTGGACAATTTTTTCTTCTTTTTCTAGTCTCAAAGTAGAAAATAATCCTACGAACTGAAAATTTTTCAGGAAATTTCAAAATTCCCTGCTCTTGATTTTTCTCCTCCCTTCTTTATTATTATTATTTTTTAATTTAGTCCCTCGTTCCTTGTCTTTTCACCACATCTGATTCTTTCTGTATTCCATATTGTGTGTATTCATTACCTTTCTTTCATCAGTGAATTTCTCGTTAAAGGTTTCTAATTCTTCGTTATTCCAAGTTATTTCTGCGTTATTTGATGCCAATTTCTTTAGATTTTTATTTATTTTTCTTAATTTTGATATCTGTTTCCCTTATTGTTGTATTCTTCTTTGCTTCCATCATTCTACTTGCTTCTGTCATGCCTTTCTTTAACACAGGTGTCCTCGTTCATCTTTAATTCAAATTCGTTAGTCCTAGTTACTCTTTTGTTTCTTTCTCGCTAGTCTTCTAGCGTTTGTTTTGGACAATTTTTTCTTCTTTTTTTTGTCTCAAAGTAGAAAATAATCCTACGAACTGAAAATTTTTCAGGAAATTTCAAAATTCCCTGCTCTTGATTTTTCTCCCCCCTTCTCTATTACTATTATTTTTTAATTTAGTCCCTCGTTCCTTGTCTTTTCACCACATCTGATCCTTTCTGTGTTCCATATTGTGTGTATTCATTATCTTCCTTTCACCAGTGAATTTCTCGTTAAAGGTTTCTAATTCTTCGTTATTCCAAGTTATT